TCTCTGTCCTGTCTCTCTCTTACTTCATGTACATGTGTAGATAGATGCATAGTAGGTAAGAGACAGACATGAGGATGGATACACATGCTTACATGTGTGTCAGCACATGAACGTCTCCCCCTGTTGGTAATGCCCTTTCATTTATCTCTGACCCAGAATTCATCCAGAGATTTGCAATTATCTGAGGTTTTCCTGTATCATTCATTTGAACACCAGTTTCTATCTCAGGGCTGAGCATTGCTTTTGATGATTAATTGCTCAATTCCCTTTTCACATAATACAGATCCCTGTTGTTTTTATGATTCTGAGACCTGTCACTGCTTTGCAGAGTATTTTACCTTTTAGATATTTCTGGTGTGTTTTAGCTTGTTTATTTATTAGTGTTTATTCTCCGTAAAGAAACAGAATCCATAATCTTTATTTCCAAACATGTTATCTCTGTTCTCTAAATCCATATTTTGAGTAGCGTTTTCTGGCCTCATAGTTAATTACTTTATAGGTTGAGTTCTGCGGAATGTCCATATTTCTATTGCATCATAATTGCCTGGCTGTGTATACTGCCACCTATTCTAATTTCCATGTGGTTTTCCCACAGACAATTCAATTCCCTCTATTCCAAGTGGGAATGTCTAATGGTAACAAGATCACAAGTTATTTGAAGTTATGACCTTTGTGAGGAACCAAGGACATGGACGACCACTGAAACTTTGGACTAACCAATCACCTGCCTGCTGATGCCATCAGCTGTTACTTCAGATCAGCCTGAGCAACAGCCTACAAGGAATTTTCATACTTATGTTCATGAAACCAGACACTCAGCTTGTTCAAAAACTCCATTCTGTCCAATTTCTTCAGTTGAATTTAATTCTTAGCAGTTGATGGTCTTCCTTCTCGTCATTATTTCCCTCCAGGTGTGAACAATCTTTGCAGAACTCGTTCTCTTAGTCCAGAATGTCCCACCCACAATCAAGGTGAAGTTCACATGGAATCTCCTCTGAGCTTTCTGGGATCCAGACAGAATTGCACGTTCTCCACGGAGTTCCCAAAAATTACATCTAAGTGCAGGATCCTATCATGCTGCTATCTTCTGATATGATATATATATGGCACTGTAGTAGATTCCATTCCTTTTCATTATATAGATAATTAGGGTGTGTGAGGGCCCTCTAGTGAAATGTCAGTCACGAACCAGCCAAGGAGAAGTGTAAGGGCCTGGGGCAAAGAAGGCAAGGAAGCTGACACAGGAGGGTAGAATAGGGCTTTTCCTGTGAGGCTGGCTATGCAGGAGGACGTCTCTGGGCCATGAGAGTCTCCTGAATCGGGTTGCAGACACCATCTGAGCATTAACTTTGGGGTGGCCCTGACTTGGAATGGTTGTGGTGAGGGTGGAGAGTGTCGGGGCTCTCCAGGATGTGGACCTTCAGGGCCACCTGCATCCTTTAGCCTCAGCCCCACCTGGTGACACAACCCCTGCCCTGGCCCTTTTTGTGCAGGGAGGATGTGTCTGTGCCCCACTGTGGCTAAACTGCTGGCACAGAGGTACACGGATGTCTGATTGGGACTTGCGGACTTCACATTCAGGGGGAATTTATCCTTCTCCGTCCTGGACACCTTGTACCCCTGATGGATATCGCCTTCCTGGGTATCCTTGACTATGAGGGAGTAGTAGAGCAGTTGCAGCCCCAGGGCTGAATCCAGTCGATACCAGAACATTCTTTCATGGCCCATGTCCTGTGAGCATTCCAAAAAGACAGGGTCTCCCACTTTTTTGACCAGGTATCTTGGGCTCTGGGTGACGCCTCCTTCAGTGAGGACTGTGAGAAAAGGGCAGAGGAGGTGAAAGACCTTCTCCAGGAAGCCTAAGGAGGGAAATCTCGTACCCAGGATCTGGGGCAGTAGCTCAGGGGTTCACCTGCCATTGGACTCACCTGCTCCCAAGAAAGAAAAGGCCACAGCGTAGAGGAGCCTGAGAACCAAGGCCGGTTCAAGACCAGAGTGGGTCTCCCCCAGCGAGGCCGTGGCAAGTGGCTGTGATGTCACTGTCCCGCCACCTCGGGGGCCGCCTCCCTCTAGCTGCTGGGGAGTGTAGAGCACAGGCTGAGCGCCCTTGCTTTTCAGTGTGTGGGTGTACATACGTGTACATACTTCTACATGTGTGTACATGCCTGTGTGTGTGTGCACGTGTGAGAGTGCTCCATGTGTGTGCATGTGTGAGTTCACATTGCGGACCTAACAGCTGTCTTTAGAAGGACCTGGCAGCGAGACAGGCCCGAGCTCTGCTGCCGTCCACAGGCCTCGGAATACTGTTCTCAAGTGACGCTCAGCTCTGATTAGGAAACATTATGTGTGCTGTCTGTCAGTCTGTCTGTCTGCCTCTCTCCCATTTATGTGATAGTTATAAATATATGCATAAATGTATACAGATAGAATATATATATATTTCCTTGTGGAAATTCTAGCTTTACTTAACAATTTTTAAATAACATTATCAGTGAATTGGTTGAGGCAGGCTCTAGAGGTAGGCCACCTGGGTTTGAAACTTGGTCCTCACCTCTTGGCTGGACAGCTGCCTGGCTGGCTCCGGGTGTGAGAACGGGGTGCACTGTCAGCAGAGTGGGGGGAGAGGCAGGTGGTAGAGGCGGGAGGAGGAGCTTCCAAGGGCTAAGATAGGAGAAAAAGACATCTCTATGCTTGAGCTGGGCTAAGGAAGGTAAAGAGAACACAAGGCTTGTGCAATGGCTGACTGAGCAGGGTGTGTGCCAGAGACTGGGAGGAGGGGTGGGGTTAGGGAGGAGTCCCTCTGAGACTGGGAGTCAGTCACAGTCACTTCCCATCTGAGTCCTCCAGGGCAGTGTGATGCAGTCGTAGACTGAGACGACACAGCATGCTCAGGCCAGGAGAAGGGAAGCATAGACAGCCCCTCACTAATGAGACCCTCAAAGACGGAAATTGGGGTGGAAAGATAGTCTAGAGAAATGATGAAGGTTCTTTCTAAAGCAACCAGATAATTCAGCACCACACATTGACAAGGACGCGTGATGCTGAGGTAATAATGGCTTCAGAGCTGGAAGAAGTTTAAGAGGAGGAAATAAAAGCATCAGTAGACTATCCTCCCCTGGGCCTCATGTGCAGAGCCCAGCTACTTTTCATCCCTAGTGGACCAGTTATCCAGAAGATCCCTAAAGGTCCCTTGGAGAACTTGAAGCTGGACCAGGTGGCTCATGGGCTCGGGGAAGACATCCTTGACCGAGGCTTCCCTGACCCCGCCTGCCGTCTTCCTCTGACCGTGACACACCGGAGACACTTGTAAGCTCCTAATCGAGTTTCCCTCCCTTTGTCCTCAGCATGGTGAGGCTGATGCTCTCCAGATTCCTCTTCTCAGGCCTCAGGGGGAGGGAGAAAGGAAGGTGGCTGCGTGACATGATCACAGTACGTGCTCTTACCTGCATGTGCAGATCCGGGCACAAGCCAGGAGTGGGGCTACAATTAATTCATTTCTCACTTGGCATCACTCGTACCCATAAACAGGACGTCCAGGAGATGGGGCGCCTTGTAAAAAGAGACCGAAAAAGACTCATGGCCTCAGGAGTCCCGCGCTGCAGACACTTCTGCCAGCAGTTCGCCCACAGCCTACAGGGCCGCTTCCTGTCTGCTCAGAAGGGGTTGACACTCGGTGTTGACACTCATCCTGAGCCCTGCCCCATTAGGGGAAGCAGCTCCCCTCAACAGGAGGCTGCCCCCAAGGCAGCACAGTGGACAGCATCCAGGGCTGTGGTGTCAGGTCCTCTGTCCCTAGTTCTCTTCCGCCATGTCAGCAGGCTCCCTCAGCCCAGATGCTTCATAGACTTGCCTGAGGGCAATGGAGCCAGATTCCCGGGCCCCACCTACTGGAGGAGCTTCCTCAGGCTTCAGACACACGTGGTCTCGGGGACCAGCTCCAGGGCCCAGAAGACCTGTCCAGCACAGCAGGGCATGTCCCGCTGCCCACCGCCCGCTCGTGCAGCAGCATGTGCTTGTCCAGGGCTGCTCCTTCTCCAGCCACTGCCTCGCTAATTTCAGGTCTTGGTCCTGGGTTCATTGCCTCATGCAGAGTTGTTTTAGGATTGCATTTCCATGGGCAGGGCCATCTTTTCCAGGATAACTCCAACTGTCCTATTGTCTCCTCTGCCAGGCCCACCTGGCAGGCTCACCCCTGTCCTCTGATCTCGTGACTGCTCCCCAGGACCCCCTGGGGCCGAGGCGGTATCCTGAATGCACAGCCCACCTTGGCACATCTCAGCTGGGCAATGTAGTCACGGTGTTAGGTTTGGGTTGGTGGAAGGGCCCCATTGTGCACGGTGACCCGGGTGATGGACTGAAGGGGCGCTCTGTGAGGCCTTCTCCCTCCCCCGGCCCCCTGCATTCCTGGCCTCCTCCCTTCCCTCCCTTCAGCTCCCTTAAGGAAAGACACTGAAGGGTTTAAGCCCAAGAGAGGGGTTTGTGGGTGACTCCTTGGAAGCTGGTTAAGGAATCTGGGTGAGGGAGGACATTTGCTGACCATAGAGGCTACCTGTGAGGTTAGAAAAATTAGTAAAACAGCCAGGATCTCTGCTTAGAAACACGCAGGCGCGGTGATGGATGAGGCGAGGAGGTGACCGAGACACGGCGGGGGTGACTCCCCAGCTCTGGCTTGGGCCTTTGGGTGGATGGCAGGGCTGTTAGCTGAGCTGAAGAAAAAGGAAGAAAGCAGATTTAGTAAAACACCATCCCCCAAGGGGGATGAAGGCGCTGGCATTAGGCAGAACTCAGTTGAGTGATGGCACTGACACGGGAGATTCAGTTTGGGTGAAGCAACTCTCGGCGGCCACGGGCCCAACACAGTCGCTTGTCCTGCTCACTGGGCGTGAACGGAAGGCTCAGCACCGGGGAGGGACTGTGGTGGGTGCTGAGGGTGGGGAGCTCCTCCCTTGTGGCTGCCCTTTTTGTGTGAGAGAAGCCAGCTGTGCCACGCTGTGTCTCACTGCTGGCACAGAGGTACAGAGAGGTCTGCTCCAGGGCGGTTGACTTCAGGGTCAGGGGGAAACTCTTCTTGTCTATTCGGGAGACCTCGTATCCCTCAGAACCATCTCCCTTCTCAGTTATGTTAATATTAATGGAGTAGTAGATCAGCTTCAGGCCCAGGCCTGGGTCTTGCCGATACCAGTACATGGCGTCGTGATTTGTGCTCTGAGAACACTCCAACACCTGCTTCCTCTTGGGCAACGTGATGCGGTATCTGGGGAACTGGGTCACTTCTGCTGCTCCATGGCCTGGCAGGGGAGAAGGTGAGTCACAGAGAGCTCAGGAGGGCACCTGATGGTCGTGCCGCAGGGAAGGATTTGAGCCAAGACCGGCAAGGAAGGCCAAGGGCTGCTCTTGGGTCCCGGGACTCACCTGCCCCCAGGAGGAAAAGCATCACACTGCCCAGGAGCCGGGCACCCATGGTGGCCTCCGACTACAGGGCCCAGCTGATTTCTGTCATGCCTCCACCTTGGCTGCTGCTTGGCCTCGTGTTCAGGGAGAAGCCACACCCCTGTGCAGAGGGACGTGTGACGTAGATGTGCTGGGCCGTGGGTAAGGCGAGGGGGCTGCCCTGTTCTCGTCCCCCTTTGAGGCTGCTTCTTCCAGTGCCCATCTGATCTATCTTATTCGTATGTGCTTGGGAGAGTTGGCCAATGTTCATCTTTATGCTGAAAATTGGTGCATTTCCTTATCCCTCAGGAAAGTACAGGGTGAAACTTAAGCTATCATCAACATTGCACGTTTGTATCACAGATGTGCTCATTTCTACTCTGCCACAAAAATAATTCCAAGTACATTACTCTCTTGGTCTATTCACAGATATATTTTTTGAACACTGAGCTTTTCAAGCACCTGTGGGTAAAATAACTCAGTCCTATCCGGTTGTGGGTTTTGGGTGTGTGTCCAGTTCAAAAGCCTGGACGGGGGCTCATTCCTGGTGAGCAGATCAGACATGGTGGGGGTTGCTAGCGGCTGCTTCCCCACAAGGGTTGGGTCTCCGCTGTCTTCCTCATCCTCTGCTCTCTCTGTCCACTAAAGGGTTGTCAAAGGCCATTTCAGTTCCGAGGAAGTCACTCTATCCCTGGTCTATATCATTATGTGAAGGCGATGCTGTGTGAGGGGGTGTGTTGTGCCTCTACAGGACTGTACCCTGTGGCTGTAGTGGTCTCTTTCCCCTGGCATCTTAAACCCTGGCTTCAAAGAGCAGGCCTAGTCTTCACCGCGTGGTAGAAGGTGCCAGCAGGTCTGTGACCATGAGGACCAGCTCATCCTCGCCATGAGAAAAGCAGAAAAAGAGATGGGCAGAAAACAGAGAGAAGACATGAATCCCGCAGAAGGAGCAAAGAAAATACTAGGGGACTCAATCTGAGGAGGTGGGGGAAGCAAATACTGTCTTAAAAAATGTAAAAAATTATAAATGTTAATAAATAAAAGACGCAAAGACAGCCGTGAGTTGGGAGGCGGCCGTTCAGAACTGTCTGTCCGTCGCTCCATGACAGCTGCTAACCCCCGGTCTTGTCCTCATCCCACAGTGGTTGAAGCATTTCTTTGCTTCCTTCCTACCGAACATGACACCTGCTTCCTGGGCTGGGGCCTTCAATTTGTGCACACAGGAGCTGACATTTCACTACCGTGTACTGACTGCTGGCGCAGAAATACAGCGCTGAGTCTGCCGTTTCAGAGGATGGGATTTCCAGGCTGCAGAGTCTTTGTTCGGGACAGTTAGCTGAGAAGTTCCGCGTCTTGAACAAATCAGTTTTTTCCTCAGGTTCACCATCCTGTAAGTAAACCAAAAATGTAAACTCCTTTCCCGGGATCTGTTGATACCAGTAAACGTAAGGATGTCCTTGTGGATGACTACAGTTCATCTCAGCCTTCTGGCCTCTGCCTTTGACCAGATGTCTTGGGGTCTGCGTGACTTGGACATCAAGAGAGTCTGTGAAGAAAGGAAACAGAAGCTGTGGATAGAGCCAGGAGGGACCTTGTGCAGAGAAGGACCTGGGGCTGGAGACAGGCGAAGCCAGGACAGAATTTTTTCTTTATATTTAGGACTCACCAGCTCCCAGGAGACAGAGGGCTAAACAGCAGAGGAGCCTCGTGTTCATGGCAGCAGCCAAGGCGAGAAAGGGGGGTGTTCGCCTGCCCCCTCAGCCTCCTTCTCCTGTGATGGCTTTGCAGACTCAGCCTCCTGGTGCCTTCACGTTCCTGAGCACACCCCGCCCTCCTGTCAGAAGGGAGCGCTGTTCCCTGCTGTGGAAATGTGACTGGTTTCTGTTTCATTCATTGAAAACATCCAATTTTCAATTTTCATTGAAAAACATTTCACATCTATTTTTACCCAGAGAAACTATTCATGTAGATTTTAGAATGTTCGAAAAGAAAGATAAATAACACACGTCACCACTGTCTGCGATGCTTGCTGCTAATACCTCAGTGGTACATTGTCCAGATCTCTGTCCTGTCTCTCTCTTACTTCATGTACATGTGTAGATAGAGGCTTAGTAGGTAAGAGACAGACATGAGGATGGATACACCTGCTTATATGTGTGTCAGCACATGAACACGTTCTTTTTGATAAAAAGTCTATCACCCTGTAAATGCTGTCAAATAACCCTTTGCACTTAACCATGAACGTCTCCCCCTGTTGGTAATGCCCTTTCATTTATCTCTGACCCAGAATTCATCCAGAGATTTGCAATTATCTGAGGTTTTCCTGTATCATTCATTTGAACACCAGTTTCTCACTCAGGGCTGAGCATTGCTTTTGATGGTTAATTGCTTAATTCCCTTCTCACATAATACAGATCCCTGTTGTTTTTATGATTCTGAGACCTGTCATTGCTTTGCAGAGTATTTTACCTTTTCGATATTTCTGGTGTGTTTTAGCTTGTTTATTTATTAGTGTTTATTCTCCGTAAAGAACCAGAAAACCATCATCTTTATTTCCAAACATGTTATCTCTGTTCTCTAAATCTATATTTTGAGTAGCGTTTTCTGGCCCCATAGTTAATTCCTTTATAGGTTGAGTTCTGCAGAATGTGCATATTTTTATTGCATCCCAATTGCCTGGCTGTGTATACTGCCACCTTTTCTAATTTCCATGTGGTTTTCCCACAGACAATTCAATTCCCTCTATTCCAAGCGGGAATGTCTAATGGTAACAAGATCACAAGTTATTTGAATTTATGATCTTTGTGAGGAACCAAGGACATGGACAACCACTGAAACTTTGGACTGACCAATCACCTGCCTGCTGATGCCATCAGCTGTTACTTCAGATCAGCCTGAGCAACAGCCTACAAGGAATTTTCATACTTATGTTCATGAAACCAGACACTCAGCTTGTTCAAAAACTCCATTCTGTCCAATTTCTTCAGTTGAATTTAATTCTTAGCAGTTGATGGTCTTCCTTCTCGTCATTATTCCCCTCCGGGTATGAACAATCTTTGCAGAACTTGTTCTCTTTGTCCAGAATGTCCCACCCACAATCAAGGTGAAGTTCAAATGGAATCTCCTCTGAGCTTTCTGGGATCCAGACAGAACTGGCACATTCTCCACAGAGTTCCCAAAAATTACATCTAAGTGCTGGATCCTATCATGCTGCTATCTTCTGATATGACATGTATATGACACTGTAGTATGTTACATTCCATTTCATTATATAGATAATTAGGGTGTGTGAGGGCCCTCTAGTGAAATGTCAGTCAAGAACCAGCCAAGGAGCAAGTGGAAGGGCCCGGGGCAAAGAAGGCAAGGAAGCTGGCACAGGAGGGTAGAATAGGGCTTTTCCTATGAGGCTGGCTATGCGGGAGGACGTCTCTGGGCCATGAGAGTCTCCTGAACCGGGTTGCAGACACCTTCTGGGCGTTAACTTTGGAGTGACCCTGCTTGGAATGGTTGTGGGGGGGTGGAGAGTGTCGGGGCTCTCCAGAATGTGGACCTTCAGGGCCACCTGCATCCTGTAGCCTCAGCCCCACCTGGTGGCACTTCCCCTGCCCTGGCCCTTTTTTGTGCAGGGAGGATGTGTCTGTGCCCCGCTGTGGCTAAACTGCTGGCACAGAGGTACACAGATGTCTGATTGGGCCTGGCAGACTTCACATTCAGGGGGAATTTATCCTTCTCCATCCTGGATGCACTGTACCCCTGATGAAAATCGCCTTTCTGCATATCCCTGACAATGAGGGAGTAGTAGACCAGTTGCAGCCCCAGGGCTGGGTCCAGTCGATACCAGAACATTCTATCATGTTCCATGTTCTGTGAGCATTCCAACAAGACAGGGTCTCCCTCTTTTTTGACCAGGTATCTTGGGCTCTGGGTGACGCCTGCATCGGTGAGGACTGTGAGAAAAGGGCAGAGGAGGTGAAAGACCATCTCCAGGAAGCCTGAGCAGGGAAATCTTGCACCCAGGATCTGGGGCGGAACCTCAGGGGTTCAGCGGCCATTGGACTCACCTGCTCCCAGGAAAGAAAAGACCACAGTGCAGAGGAGCCTGAGAACCATGGCCGGTTCAAGACCAGAGTGGGTCTCCCCCCGAGAGGCCGCAGCAGGTGGCTGTGATGTCACTGTCCCGCCACCTCGGGAGCCGCCTCCCTCTAGCTGCTGGGGAGTGTAGAGCAGGCTGAGCGCCCTTGCTTTTCAGTGTGTGGGTGTACATATGTGTACATGCTTCTATGTGTGTGTACATGCCTGTGTGTGTGTGCATGTGAGAGTACTCCATGTGTGTGCATGTGTGAGTTAACATCGCGGGCATAACATCTGTCTTTAGAAGGACCTGGCAGCAAGGCAGGCCAGAGCTCTGCTGCTGCCCCCAGTCCTCAGAATACTGTTCTCAAGTTATGCTCAGCTCTGATTAGGAAATCATTATGTGAGCTGTCTGTCTGTCTGTCTGTCTCCTATTTATGTGACAGTTATAAATATATGTAAATGTATACAGATAGAATATATTCATTTCCTTCATGGAAATTCTAGCTTTCCATAACAATTTTTAAATAACAATTATTAGTGAATTGGTTGAGGGCAGGCTCTAGAGTTAGGCCACCTGGGGTTGAAACTTGGTGCTCACCTCTTGTCTGAGATGCAGGCATGACTGGCTCCAGTGTGAGAACGGGGTGCACTGTCAGCAGGGACGGGGGAGGGTGAGGAGGGAGAGGTGGAGGAGGAGCTTGACCTGGGCTAAGTGAGGAGAAAAAGACATCTCTGTGCTTGAACTGAGTTAAGGAAGGTAGAGAGAGCACAAGGGCTGTGCAGAGGGAGGGCTGAGCAGGGTGTGTGCCAGAGACTGGGAAGAGGGGTGAGGCTTGGGAGAAAGGGTGGGGCTCGGGAGCAGGGCTAGGGCTAGGGAGGAGGTTAGGGCTAGGGAGGGGGGCGGGGCTAGGGAGCAGGAGCAGGGCTAGGGAGGAGGGATGAAGCTAGGGAGGAGTGCTGAGTCTTGGGAGGATGCGTGGTTTAGAGAGGAGGGTTGGGGCTAGGGAGTACTACTGGGGCCAGTGATCAGTGGTGTAGCTAGGGAGCAGGCGTGATCTAGGGAGCAGTAGTGGGGATAGGGAACAGGGGTGAGGCTAGGGAGCAGGGGTGAGACTAGGGAGCAGGGTGGAGGCTAGGGAACAGGGGTGAGGCTAGGAACCAGGGTTGGGTCGAGGGAACAGGGGTGAGGCTAGGGAGAGGGATGGGGCTAGGGAGCAGGGGTGAGGCTAGGGAGCAGGGTGGAGGCAGGGAACAGGGGTGGGGCTAAGGAGCAGGGGTGGGGCTAGGGAGGAGTCCCTCTGAGACTGACAGTCAACACAGTCACTTCCCTCTGTGTCCTCCAGGGCAGTGTGATGCAGCTGTAGACTGAGAGGAGACAGCACTCTCAGGCCAGGAGAAGGGAAGCATAGACAGTCCCTCACTCATGAGACCCTCAAACATGGAAATTGGGGTAGAAAGACAGTCAGCTGGTAGAGTGAATGCAAATTCAGAGATTTGGGTAAATCAGTAAAAAATTTTTGAGGGAAACACTAGAGAAATGATGAATGTTCTTTCTAAAGCAACCAGATAATTCAGCACCACACACTGACAAGGATGCGTGATGCTGAGGTAATAATGGCTGCAGAGCTGGATCAGTTTAAGAGGAGGAAAAAAAAAAAGCATCAGTAGACTATCCTCCCCTGGGCCTCATGCATAGAGCACAGCGACTTTTCATCCCGTGTGGACCAGTTATCCAGAAAGATCCCAAAAGTTCCCGTGGAGAACGTGGGCCTGGACCAGGTGGCTCATGGGCTCGGGGAAGATGTACTTGAACGAGGCTTCCCTGACCCCGCCTGCCGTCTTCCTCTGACCATGACACACTGGGGACCCTTCTAAGCTCCTGCTCGAGTTTCCCTCCCTTTATCCTCAGCATCGTGAGGCTGATGCTGTCCAGACGCAGCTTGTCAGGACTCAGGGCCAGAATGGAAGGTGACTGCATGACATGATCACAGTGCGTGCTCTTACCTGCATGTGCAGATCTGGGCGAAGCTAGGAGTGCGGCTAAAATTAATTCATTTCTCACTTGGCATCGCTCATACCAACAAATGGACCTCCCCAGGGGATGGAGCGTCTTGTAAAAAGAGACGGAAAATGACTCCCGGCCTCAGGAGTCTCCTGAATCGGGTTGCAGACACCACCTGGGCATTAACTTTGGGGTGGCCCTGACCTGGAAGGGGTGTGGGGGAGGGGTGAAGAGTGTCGGGGCTCTCCAGGATGTGGACCTTCAGGGACATCTGCATCCTGTATCTTAAGCCCCAGCTGGTGGCACCTCCCCTGCCCTGGCCCTTTTTTGTGCAGGGAGGATGTGTCTGTGCCCCGCTGTGTCTAAACTGCTAGCACAGAGGTACACAGATGTTTGATCAGGGCTGGCGGATGTCACATTCAGGGGGAATCATTTTATCTCTTCCCTGGACACGCTGTACCCATCAGGGAAATCGCCGTCCTGTGTATCCTCGACACCGATGGAGTAGTGGAGCAGCTGCAGCCCCAGCGCTGGGTCTTGTCGATACCAGAACATGCTATTATGGCCCATGTCCTGCGAACATTCCAACAAGGCGTGTTCTCCCTCTTTTTTAACCAGGTATCTTGGGCTCTGGGTGAGGCCTGCATCGGTGAGGACTGTGAGAAAAGGGCAGAGGAGGTGAAAGACCGTCTCCAGGAAGCCTGAGGAGGGAAATCTCGTACCCAGCATCTGGGACGGTAGCTCAGGATTCAGCTGCCATTGGACTCACCTCCTTCCAGAACAGAAAAGGCCACAGCACAGAGGAGCCTGAGAACCATGGCCGGTTCAAGACCAGTGTGGGTCTCCCCCGGCGAGGCCGCGGCAGGTGGCTGTGATGTCACTGTCCCGCCCACCTGGGGAGCCAGGCCTCCCTCCAGCCACTGGGGAGTGTGGAGCACAGGCTGAGTGCCCTTGCTTTTCAGTGTGTGGGTGTACAGGAGCGTACATGCCTGCGTGTGTGTGTACATGCCTGAGTGTGTGTGCACGTGTGAAAGTGCTCCAAGTGTGTGCCTGTGTGAGTTCACATCGCGGACCTAACAGCTGCCTTTAGAAGGACCTCGTAGCGAGGCAGGCCCGAACTCTGCTGCCCGCCCCCACCCCCAGTCCTGGGAATATTGTTCTCAAGTGACCCTCAGCTCTGATTAGGAAACATTATGTGTGCTGTCTGTCTGTCTGTCTGTCTCCTATTTATGTGACAGTTATAAATATATGTAAATGTATACAGATAGAATATATTCATTTCCTTCATGGAAATTCTAGCTTTCCATAACAATTTTTAAATAACAATTATCAGTGAATTGGTTGAGGGCAGGCTCTAGAGGGAGGCCACCTGGTGTTGAAACTTGGTGCTCACCTCTTGGCTGAGATGCAGGCATGGCTGGCTCTGGGTTTGAGAACGGGGTGCGCTGTCAGCAGGGAGGGGGGAGGGTGAGGAGGGAGAGGTGGAGGAGGAGCTTGAGCTGGGCTAAGTTAGGAGAAAAAGACATCTCTGTGCTTGAACTGAGTTAAGGAAGGTACAGAGAGCACAAGGGCTGTGCAGAGGGTGGGCCGAGCAGGGTGTGTGCCAGAGACTGGGGAGGAGGGGTGAGGGTAGGAAGCAGGGGTGGCCTTGGGAGCAGGAGTGAGGCTAGGGAGGAGCGCTGAGTCTAGGGAGCAGGGTTGGTGCTAGGGAGGAGGGGTGGGGCTAGGGAGCAGGGGTGAGGCTTGGGAGCAGGGATGGGGCTAAGGAGGAGTCCTCTGAGACTGGCAGTCAGTCACAGTCACTTCCCTTCTGTGTCCTCCAGGGCAGTGTGATGCAGCTGTAGACTGAGAGGAGACAGCACTCTCAGGCCTGGAGAAGAGAAGCATAGACAGCCCCTCACTGATGAGACCCTCAAAGATGGAAATTGGGGTAGAAAGACAGTCAGCTGGTAGAGTGAATGCAATTTCGGAGATGTGAGTAAATGAGCAAAAAAAATTTTGAGGGAGACTCTAGAGAAATGATGAAGGTTCTTTCTAAAGCCACCAGATAATTCAGCCACACACACTGACAAGGACGCGTGATACTGAGGTAATAATGGCTGCACAGCAAGAAGGAGCTTAAGAGGAGAAAATAAAAGCATCAGTAGATTATCCTCCCCTGGGCCTCATGCAGCTACTTTTCATCCCGCGTGGACCAGTTATCCAGAAAGATCCCAAAAGGTGGCGTGGAGAACGTGGGCCTGGACCAGGTGGCTCATGGGCTCAGGGAAGATGTACTTGAACGAGGCTTCCCTGACCCCGCCTGCCGTCTTCCTCTGACCATGACACACTGGAGACCCTTCTAAGCTCCTAATCGAGTTTCCCTCCCTTTATCCTCAGCATCGAGAGGCTGATGCTGTCCAGATGCAGCTTTTCAGGACTCAGGGGCAGAAAGGAAGGTGACTGCATGACATGATCACAGGTCGTGCTCTTACCTGCATGTGCAGACCCGGGCGCGAGCCAGGAGTGGGGCTACGATTAATTCATTTCTCACTTGGCATCACTCGTACCAGAAACAGGACGTCCAGGAGATGGGGTGTCTTGTAAAAAGAGACCAAAAAAGACTCACGGCCTCAGGCGTTCTGCGCTGCAGACACTTCTGCCAGCAGTTCGCCCACAGCCTACAGGGCCACTTCCTCTCTGCTCAGAAGGGGTTGGCAAGTGGCGTGCGGTGCCCTGTGGTCCTGAGCCCTGCCCCATTAGGGGAAGCAGCTTCCCTGGAGACAGGAGGCCGCCCCACGTCAGCACAGTGGACAGCACCCAGGGCTGTTTTGTCAGGTCCTCTGTCCCTTAGTTCCCTTCTGCCATGTCAGCAGGCTCCCTCAGCCCAGACCCTTCATAGACTTGCCTGATGGTAATCAAGCCAGATTCCCGGGCCCACCTACAGAGGGAGGTTTTTCCAGCCTCAGACACACGTTGTCTAGGCGACCGGCTCCAGGGCCCAGAACACCTGTCCAGCACAGCAGGGCATGTCCCGCTGCCCACCGCCCGCTCCTGCAGCAGCACGTGCTTGTCCAGGGCTGCTCTTTCCCCCAGCAATGGTGTCGCTAATTTCAGGTCTTGGTCCTGGGTTCATCGCCTCATGCAGAGTTGTTTTAGGATTGCATTTCAGTGGGCAGGGCCTTCTTTTCCAGGATAACTCCAACTGTCCTATTGTCTCCTCTGCCAGGCCCACCTGGCAAGCTCAACCCTGTCCTCTGAGCTCGTGACTGCTCCCCAGGACCCCCGGGGGCCCAGGTGTTTTCCTGAATCCACAGCCAACCTTGGCCACATCCAGCTGGGTAATGTTGTCACGGTGTTAGGTTTGGGGTGGGGGAAGCGCCCCATTGTGCACGGTGTCCCGGGTGATGGACTGAAAGGTGCTCCACGAGGCCTTCTCCCTCCCCCGGCCGCCTGCATCCCTGGCCTCCTCCCTCCCTCCCTTCAGCTCCTTTAAGGAAAGACATCGAAGGAGTTTAAGCCCAAGAGAGGGGTTTATGTGTGACTTTGGAAGCGGGTTAAGGAATCTGGGTGAGGGAGGACATTTGCTGACCATAGAGGTTATCTGTGAAGTTAGAAAAATTAGTAAAACAGCCGGGATCTCAGCTTAGAAAAACCCAGGGGTGGTGATGGATGAGGCGGGGGGGTGTCTGGACAGGATGGGGGTGACTCCCCAGCTGTGGCTTGGGCGTTTGGGTGGATGGCAGGGCTGTTAGCTGAGCTGAAGAAAATGGGAGAAAGCAGATTTAGTAAAACACCGTTCCCCAAGGGAGAAGAAGGCGCTGGCATAGGGCAGAACTCTGTTGAGTGATGGCACTGACACGGGAGATTCAGTTTGGGTGAAGCAACTCTCGCCGGCCACGGGCCCAACACAGTCGCTTGTCCTGCTCACTGGGCGTGAACGGAAGGCTCAGCACCGGGGAGGGACTGTGGTGGGTGTTGAGGGTGGGATGCTGCTCCCCGGGTGGGGAGCTCCTCCCTTGGGCTGCCCTTTGTGTGAGAGAAGCCATCTGTGCCACGCTGTGTCCTCCCTGCTGGCACAGAGGTACAGAGAGGTCTGCTCCAGGGCGGTTGACTTCAGGGTCAGGGGGAAACTCCTTTTATTTTCGGGAGAACTGGTATCCCTCAGAACCATCTCCCTTCTCAGTTATGTTAACATTAATGGAGTAGTTGATCAGCTTCAGGCCCAGCTCTGGGTCTTGCCGATACCAGTACATGGCGTCGTGGCTTGTGCTCTGAGAACACTCCAACACCTGCTCCCTCTTGGGCAACGTGATGCGGTGTCTGGGGGACTGGGTCACTTCTGCTGCTCCATGGCCTGGCAGGGGAGAAGGTGAGTCACAGAGAGCTCAGGAGGGCACCTGATGGTCGTGCCGCAGGGAAGGATTTGAGCCAAGACCGGCAAGCAAGGCCAAGGGCTGCCCTTGGGTCCCGGGACTCACCTGCCCCCAGGAGGAAAAGCATCACATGGCCCAGGAGCCGGGTACCCATGGTGGCCTCCGACAACAGGGCCCAGCTGATTCCTGTCTCGCCTCCACCTTGGCTGCTGCTTGGTCTCGTGTTCAGGGAGAAGCCACACCCCTGTGCAGAGGGACGTGTGACTCAGACGTGGCTGGGCCGTGGGTAAGGTGAGGGGGCTGCCCTGTTCTCGTCACCCTTTGAGGCTGCTTCTTCCAGTGCCCATCTGGTCTGTCTTATTCGTATTTGTTTGGGAGAGTTGGCCAACGTTCAGCTTTATGCTGAAAATTGGTGTATTTCCTTATTCCTCTGGAAAGTATAGGGTGAAACTTAAGTTATCATCAACATCGCATGTTTGTACCACAGATGTGCTCATTTCTACTCTGCCACAAAAATAATTCCAACTATATTCTTGTCTTGGTCTATTCATGGATATGTTTTTTGAACACTGACCTTTTCAAGCACCTGTGGGTAAAAAATGACTCAGTCCAATCCATGTTGTGGGTTTTGGGTGTGTGTCCAGTTCAAAATACTGGCCGGGGGCTCATTCCTGGTGAGCAGATCAGACATGGTGGGGGTTGCTAGCGGCTGCCTCCCCACACGGGTTGGGGCTCATCTGTCTTCCTCATCATCTGCTCTCTCTGTCCACTAAAGGGCTTGAAGGACATTTCAGTTCTGAAACATCACTCTACCCTAGCCTTTTATCATTATGTGAAGGCGATGCTGTGTGAAGGGGTGTGTTGTGCCCCCTAGAGGACTACACCACTGTGGCGGTTGTAGTGCTCTTCCCCCTGGTATTTTAAACCTGGGCTTACAAGAGCAGGGCTGATCTTCACCCTTGTGGTAGAAGTTGACAGTAAGTTTGTGACCATGAGGACTTGCTCATCCTCGCCATGAGAAAAGCAGAAAAAGAGAAAGGCAGAAAACAGAAGCTGGCAGAAGAAACAAAGACAGCCGTGAGTTGGAGGAGGCCGTTCCAGAACTCTGTTTGTCGCTCTATGACAGCTGCTGACCCTGGTCTTGTCCTCATCCCACAGCGGCTTCACCATTTCTTTGCTTCCTTCCTGCCAAACGTGGCACCTGCTTCCTGAGCTGGGTCTTCAATTTGTGCACACAGGAGCTGACATTTCACTACCGTGTACTGACTGCTGGCGCAGAAATACACTGCTGAGTCTCCCGTTTCGGAGGATGGGATTTGCAGGCTGCAGGGTGAGTTCTGGGGACATTCAGCTGAGAATTTCTGCATCTTGAACAAATCAGTTTTCTCTATAATTTTATTCTGGTAGAGGTAAACCAAAAACGTAAGCTCCTTTCCCGGGATCTGTTGATACCAGTAAACGTAAAGATGTCCTTGTGGATGAGTACAGCTCATCTCAGCCTTCTGGCCTCTGCCTTTGACCAGATGTCCTGGGGTCTGGGTGACTTGGACATCAAGAGAGTCTGTGAAGAAAGGAAACAGAAGCTGTGGACAGAGCCAGGAGGGACCTTGTGCAGAGAAGGACCTGGGGCTGGAGGTAGGCAAAGCCAGGACAGAATTTTTCTCTTTATTTAGGACTCACCAGCTCCCAGGAGACAGAGGGCTAAACAGCAGAGGAGCCTCGTGTTCATGGCAGCAACCAAGGCGAGAAAGGGGGGTGTTCGCCTGCCCTTCAGCTTCCTTCTCCTGTGATGGCTTTGCAGACTCAGCCTCCTGGTGCCTTCATGTTCCTGAGCACAACCCCGCCCTCCTGTCAGAAGGGAGCGCTGTTCCCTGCTGTGGAAATGTGACTGGTTTACATTTTATTCATTGAAAACATCCAATTTTCAATTTTCATTGAAAAACATTTCACACCTATTTTTACCAAGAAAATCTATTCATGAATGTTAGAAAAGAAAGGTAAAGAACACACTTCACCACTGTCTGCGATGCTTGCTGCTAATACCTCAGTGGTACATTGTCCAGATCTCCGTCCTGTCTCTCTCTTACTTCATGTACAGGTGTTGATACATGCATAGTAAGTAAGAGACAGACAAGAGGATGGATACACATGCATATATGTGTGTCAGCACATGGACACGTTCTTTTTGATAAAACTACTATTCACCCTGTAAATGCTGTCAATAACCGTTTGTACTTAATGATGAACGTCTCCCCCTGTTGGTAATGCACATTCATTTACCTCTGACCCAGATTTCATCCTAAGATTTGCAGTTATCTGAGGTTATCCTGTATCATTAATTTGAACACCAGTTTCTAACTCAGGGCTGAGCATTGCTTTTGCTGATTAATTGCTTAATTCCTTTTTCACATAATACAGATTCCTGTTGTTTTTATGATTCTGAGACCTGTCACTGCTCTGCAGAGTATGTTACCTTTTAGATATTTCTGGTGTGTTTTAGCTTGTTTGTTTATTAGTGTTTATTCCCCCTAAAGAACCAGAATCCATAATCTTTATTTCCAAACATGTTATCTCTGTTCTCTAAATCCATATTTTGAGTAGCAGTTTCTGGCCTCTATATGCTGAGTTCTATAGAATGTACATATTTCTATTGCAACCCAATTGCCTGGCTGTGTATACTGACACCTTTTCTAATTCAATTCCCTCTATTCCAAGCAGGAATGACTAATGGTAACAAGATCACACATTATTTAAAGTTATGACCATGTGAGGAACCAAGGACATGGACGACCACTAGAAACTTTGGACTAACCAATCACCTGCCTGCTGATGACATCAGCTGTTACTTCAGATCAGCCTGAGCAACAACTTACAAGGAATTTTCATACTTATGCTCAGGAAACCAGACACTCAAGTTGTTCAAAAACTCCATTTTGTCCAATTTCTTCAGTTGGATTTAATTCTGAGCAGTTGATGGTCTTCCTTGTCTTCATGAATTCAACTCCAGGTGTGAACAATCTTTGCAGAACTTGTTCTCTTTGTTCAGAATGCCCCTCCCACAATCAAGGTGAAGTTCAAATGGAATCTCCTCTAAGCTTTCTGGGATCCAGACAGAACTGGCACGTTATCCACAGAGTTCCCAAATAACATCTAAGTGCTGGATCCTATCATGCTGCTATCTTCTGATATGCTGTACATGATATATGACACTATAGTATATTACATTCCAATCCATTATATAGATAATTAGGGTGTGTGAAGTCCCTCTAGTGAAATTTCAGTCAAGAAACAGCCAAGGAGCAAGTGTAAGGGCCTGGGGAAAAGAAGGCAAGGAAGCTGACACAGGAGGGTAGATTAGGGCTTTTCCGGTGAGGTTGGGTGTGCGGGAGGATGTCTCTGGGCCACGAGAGTCTCCTGAATCGGGTTGCAGACACCACCGGGGCATTAACTTTGGGGTGGCCCTGACTTGGAAGGGGTGTGGTGGGGTGGAGAGAGTCGGGCCCCTCCAGGATGTGGACCTTCAGGGCCACCTGCATCCTGTAGCCTCAGCCCCACCTGGTGGCACTTCCCCCGCCCTGGCCCTTTTTGTGCAGGGAGGATGTGTCTGTGCCCCGCTGTCGCTAAACTGCTGGCACAGAGGTACACGGATGTCTTATTGGGCCTGGCCGACTTCACATTCAGGGGGAATTTATCCTTCTCCTCCCTGGACACACTGTACCCATGAGGGAAATCACCTTCCTGCATATTCTTGAGACCGAAGGAGTAGTGGAGCAGCTGCAGCCCCAGCGCTGTGTCCTGTCAAACATGTTATTTTGGTCCATGTCCTGTGAGCATTCCAACAAGGCGTGGTCTTCCTCTTTTTTGACCAAATATCTTGGGCTCTGGGTGATGCCTGCATCGGTGAGGACTGTGAGAAAAGGGCAGAGGAGGTGAAAGACCGTCTCCAGGAAGCCTGGGGAGGGAAATCTGGTACCCAGCATCTGGGACGGTAGCTCAGTATTCAGCTGCCATTGGACTCACCTGCTCCCAGGACAGAAAAGGCCACAGCGCAGAGGAGCCTGAGAACCATGGCCGCTTCCAGACCAGAGTGGGTCTCCCCCAGCGAGGCCGTGGCAGGTGGCTGTGATGTCACTGTCCCCACCCACCTTTGGCGCCCAGCCTCCCTCCAGCTGCTGGGGAGTGTAGAGCACAGGCTGAGCACCCTTGCTTTTCAGTGTGTGGGTGTGCATGTATGTGTGTACATGCCTGTGCGTGTGTGCACGTGTGAGAGTGCTCCATGTGTGTGCATGTGCGAGTTAACATCACTGACCTAGCAGCTGTCTTTAGAAGGACCTGGCAGCGAGGCAGGCCTGCGCTCTGCTTCCACCCCCAGTCCTTGGAATACTGTTCTCAAGTGACGCTCAGCTCTGATTAGGAAACATTATGTGTGCTGTCTGTCTGTCTGTCTGTCTCTCTCCTATTTATGTGATAGTTATAAATATATACATAAATGTATACAGATAGAATATATGTATTTCCTTCATGGAAACTGTAGCTTTCCAGAACAATTTTTAAATAACATTATCAGTGAATTGGTTGAGGGCAGGCTCTAGAGGGAGGCCACCTGGCGTTGAAACTTGGTGCTCGCCTCTTGGCTGGAACTGCAGGCATGGCTGGCTCTGGGTTTGAGAACGGGGTGCACTGTCAGCAGGGAGGGGGGAGGGGACGGAGGGAGAGGCAGGAAGAGGAGCTTGACCTGGGCTAAGTTAGGAGAAAAAGACATCTCTGTGCTTGAACTGAGTTAAGGAAGGTAAAGAGAGCACAAGGACTGTGCAGAGGGTGGGCTGAGCAGGGTGTGTGCCAGAGAGTGGGGAGCCGGGGTGCGGCTAGGGAGGAGTTGTGAGGCTAGGGAGCAGGGCTGAGTCTGGGAGGAGGGATGGGGCTAGGGAGTAGGGGTGGGGCTAGGGAAGAGTCCCTCTGAGACTGGGAGTAAGTCACAGTCACTTCCCTTCTGTGTCCTCCAGGGCAGTGTGATGCAGCTGTAGACTGAGAGGACACAACACTCTCAGGCCAGGAGAAGGGAAGCATAGACAGCCCCTCACTCATGAGACCTTAAAGATGGAAATTGGGGTAGAAAGACAGTCAGCTGGTAGAGTGAATGCAATACAGAGATTTTGGGTAAATCAGTAAAACAATTTTGAGGGAGACACTAGAGAACTGATGTAGTTTCTTTCTAAAGCAACCAGATAATTCAGCCACACACACTGACAAGGATTCGTGATGCTGAGGTAATAATGGCTGCAGAGCTGGATCAGTTTAAGAGGACAAAATAAAAGCATCAGTAGATTATCTACCCCTGGGCCTCATGCGCAGAGCACAGCTACTTTTCATCCGGTGTGGACCAGTTATCCAGAAAGATCACAAAAGGTGGCGTGGAGACAGTGGCCTGGACCAGGTGGCTCATGGGCTCGGGGAAGATGTACTTGACCGAGGCTTCCCTGACCCCGCCTGCCGTCTTCCTCTGACCATGACACACTGGAGACCCTTCTAAGCTCCTGTTCAAGTTTCCCTCCCTTTATCCTCAGCATCATGAGGCAAGCTCACCCCTGTCCTCTGAGCTCATGACTGCTCCCCAGGACCCCCAGGAGCCCAGGCGGTTTCCTGAATGCACAGCCCACCTTGGCCACATCTCACCTGGGCAATGCCATGGTGTTAGGTTTGGGTGGTACAAGTGCCCCGTTGTGCCCGGTGACCCGGGTGATGGACTGAATCGTGCTCCATGAGGCCTTCTCCCTCCCCTGGCCCCCTGCACCCCTGGCCTCCTCCCTCCCTCCCTTCAGCTCCCTTAAGGCAAGACACTGAGGGGTTTAAGCCCAAGATAGGGGTTTGTGGGTGACTGCTTGGAAGCGGGTTAAGGAATCTGGGAGAGAGAGGACATTTGCTGACCATAGAGGTTACCTGTGAGGTTAGAAAAATTAGTAAAACAACCAGGAACTCTGCTTAGAAACACGCAGGGGCGGTGATGGATGAGGCGCGGAGGTGTCCGAGACACGGCGGGGGTGACTCCCCAGCTCTGGCTTGGGCGTTTGGGTGGATGGCAGGGCTGTTAGCTGAGCTGAAGAAAATGGGAGAAAGCAGATTTAGTAAAACACCATCCCCCAAGGGGGTGAAGGCGCTGGCATTAGGCAGAACTCAGTTGAGTGATGGCACTGACACGGGAGATTCAGTTTGGGTGAAGTAACTCTCGCTGGCCACGGGCCCAACACAGTCGCTTGTCCGGCTCACTGGGCGTGAACGGAAGGCTCAGCACCGGGGAGGGACTTTGGTGGGTGCTGAGGGTGGGATGCTGGTCCCGGGGTGGGGAGCTCCTCCCTTGTGGCTGCCCTTTTTGTGTGAGAGACGCCAGCTGTGCCACGCTGTGTCCTCCCTGCTGGCACAGAGGTACAGAGAGGTCTGCTCCAGGGCGGTTGACTTCAGGGTCAGGGGGAAACTCTTCTTGTATATTCGGGAGACCTCGTATCCCTCAGAACCATCTCCCTTCTCAGTTAAGCCAACATTAAGGGAGTAGTAGATCAGCTTCAGGCCCAGCCCCGGGTCTTGCCGATACCAGTACATGACGTCGTGGCTTGTGCTCTGAGAACACTCCAACTCCAGCTCCCTCTTGGGCAACGTGATGTGGTATCTGGGGGACTGGGTCACTTCTGCTGCTCCATGGCCTGGCAGGGGAGAAGGTGAGTCACAGAGAGCTCAGGAGGGCATCTGATGGTCGTGCCGCAGGGAAGGGTTTGAGCCAAGACCGGCAAGCAAGGCCAAGGGCTGCCCTTGGGTCCCAGGACTCACCTACCCCGAGGAGGAAAAACATCACATTGCCCAGGAGCCGGGCACCCATAGTGGCCTCTGACAACAGGGCCCAGCTGATTCCTGTCATGCCTCCACCTTGGCTGCTGCTTGGCCTCGTGTTCAGGGAGAAGCCACACCCCTGTGCAGAGGGACGTGTGACTCAGACGTGACTGGGCCGTGGGTAAGGCGAGGGGGCTGGGCTATTCTTATCCCCCTTTGAGGCTGCTTTTTCCAGTGCCCATTTCGTTTGTCTTATTCTTTTTTGCTTGGAAGAGTTGGCCAATGTTCAGCTTTATGCTTTTAATTGGTATATTTCCTTATCACTTAGAAAAGTATGAAGGTAAAACTTAAGCTATCATCAACATTGCACTTTTATCCTTCAGATGTCCTCATTTCTACTTTGCCACAAAAATAATTCTAAGTATAATCCTGTCTTGGTCTATTCTTGGTCTTGGTCTATATATTAAGATTTATTTATTTATTTTTTACAAGCACTCGGTACAGGCAGAAGCACAGGCGGGTGAAAGAATCCACCTAAGCCAGAGCAGGGAGCAGAACAGGCAGACTGACGAAATACACTGCTGAGGGGAGCAGCGGGCATGGCAGGAGAGGTCTGCGTACCCGTGGGACTCTTTCTGTCTGCCCGGGGATCGAACCGGTGTTGCAGATGCTGCAGACAGCTTCACAGCCCAGCGCTCAACTGCTGCTCCACCAGTGAGGGCCTTCACAGATATATTTTTTGAACAGAGACCTTTTAAAGCACCTGTCGGTAAAAATAAACTCAGTCCAATCCACATTGTGGGCTTTGGGTGTGTGTCCAGTTCAAAAGCCTGGACTGGGGCTCATTCCTGGTGAGCAGATCAGACGTGGTGGGGGTTGCTAGCGGCTGCTTCCCCACACGGGTTGGGCTCATCTGTCTTCCTCATCCTCTGCTCTCTCTGTCTACTGAAGGGTTGTGAAAGGCCATTTCAGTTCTGAGGAGTCCCTCTATCCCTCGTCTTTTATCATCTTGAGAAGGCGATGCTGTGTGAGGCGATGCTGTGTGAGGGCGTGTGTTGTGCCCTCTAGAGGACTACACCACGGTGGCAGTCGTGATGCTCTTTCTTCCCCTGGCATTTTAAATCCGGTCTTAAAAGAGCAGGCCTGGTCTTCACCATGTGGTAGAAGGTGCCAGAAGATTTGTGACCACGAGGACTAGCTCATCCTCGCCATGAGAAAAGGAGAAAAAGAGAAAGTCAGAAAATAGAGAGAAGACAGGAAGCCCGCAAAAGAAGCAAAGAAAATTCTACGGGGACTCAATCTGAGGGGGTGGGGGAAGCAAATATTGTCTAAAAAAATGTAAAAAATGATAAATGTTTTAAAAAAAAAAAAAAGAAGCAAAAACAACCGTGAGTTGGGAGGCGGCCGTTCCAGAACTGTCTGTCTGTCACTCCTTGCCTGGTACTAATCCCACAGCGGCTTAAGCATTTCTTTACTTCCTTTCTGCTGAACGAGACACCTGCTTCCTGAGCTGGGGCCTTCAATTTGTGCACACAGGAGCTGACATTTCACTACTGTGTGCTGACTGCTGGTGCAGAAATACAGCGCTGAGTCTGCCGTTTCGGAGGATGGGATTTGCAGGCTGCAGTGTGGGTTCTGGGAACATTCAGCTGAGAAGTTCCGCGTCTTGAACAAATTAGTTTCTTCCACAGGTTCACCATTCTGTAAGTAAACCAAAAACGTAAGCTCCTTTCCCGGGATCTGTTGATACCAGTAAACGTAAAGATGTCCTTTTGCAGGAGTACAGTTCATCTCAGCCTTCTGGCCTCTGCCTTTGACCAGATGTCCTGGGGTCTGGGTGACTTGGACCTCAAGCGAGTCTGTGAAGAAAGGAAACAGAAGCTGTGGACAGAGCCAGGAGGGACCTTGTGCAGAGAAGGACCTGGGGCTGGAGACAGGCGAAGCCAGGACAGAATTTTTCTCTTTATTTAGGACTCACCAGCTCCCAGGAGACAGAGGGCTAAACTGCAGAGGAGCCTCGTGTTCATGGCAGCAGCCAAGGCGAGAAAGGAGGGTGTTCGCCTGCCCCCTCAGTGTCCTTCTCCTGTGATGGCTTTGCAGACTCAGCCTCCTGGTGCCTTCACCTTCCTGAGCACAGCCCCGCCCTCCTGTCAGAAGGGAGCGCTGTTCCCTGCTGTGGGAATGTGACTGGTTTCTATTTTATTCATTGAAAACATCCAATTTTCAATTTTCATTGAAAAAAAATTTCACACCTATTTTTACCAAGAAAATCTATTCGTGTAGATTTTAGATGTTAGAAAAGAAAGATAAATAACACACGTCACCACTGTCTGCGATGCTTGCTGCTAATACCTCAGTGGTACCTTGTCCAGATCTCTGTCCTGTCTCTCTCTTACTTCATGTACATGTGTAGATAGAGCCTTAGTAGGTAAGAGACAGACATGAAGTTGGATACACATGCTTATAAGCGTGTCAGCACATGAACGTTCTTTTTTTTTTTATTGTTGGTGGAGAGAAGTACCCATAAGCTGTGACTCACGGCAGGATCTGCATGGTGAATCTCAGAGTTGTACTCCCTCTTTTTATTTTTATTTTTACTTTTTAAAATTTTTTTTATATTCCCCATACAATTGCAACCCCCTTATTTTGACCTCAATCCCTCCCCTCCCCACACCCCACCCCCCATAGAGTGTCTCTGGTTCATAGTTGTTTGTTGATTTTGATTTTCACTTTCTTATAGTTATTCATTTTCCTGGTCCCTTATTTAGGTTTTCTAGATTCCTGCTATGAGTGAGACCATCCGGTATTTTTCTTTTTCTTTTTGGCTTATTTCGCTGAGCATGATCCCTTCCAGTGCCATCCATGTTGCTGCACATTGCATGTGTTTATCTTTTTTGAATGCTGAGTAATATTCCATGGTGTATATGGACCCCATCTTCTTGATCCAGTCATCTATTTTTGGGCCTTTGGGCTGTTTCCAAAGCTTAGCTATTGTAAACAGTGCTGCTATAAACATAGGGGTGCAGGTGCTCTTTGGAATGGATGTTTCTGTGTCCTTTGGGTAAATACCTAGGAGTGGAATTGCTGGATCTTATGGAAGCTCTATGTTTAGTAGGTCCAGAAATCTCCACACAGCTCTCCATAGTGGTTGGACCAGTTTGCACTCCCACCAGCAGTGCAGGAGAGTTCCTTTTTCTCCACATCCTCGCCAACATTAGTTGTTGCTAGTTTTTTTAATATGTGCCATTCTCACTGGTGTGAGATCATATTCTTTTTGATAAAACTTCTATCACCCTGTAAATGCTGTCAAATAACCCTTTGCACTTAATGAAGAACGTCTCCCCCTGTTGGTAATGCACTTTCATTTATCTCTGACCCAGAATTCATCCAGAGATTTGCAGTTATCTGAGGTTATCCTGTATCATTAATTTGAACACCAGTTTCTCACTCAGGGCTGAGCATTGCTTTTGATGATTAATTGCTCAATTCCCTTTTCACATAATACAGATCCCTGTTGTTTTTATGATTCTGAGACCTGTCACTGCTTTGCAGAGTATTTTACCTTTTCGATATTTCTGGTGTGTTTTAGCTTGTTTATTTATTAGTGTTTATTCTCCCATGAACCAGAATACCATAATCTTTATTTCCAAACATGTTATCTCTGTTCTCTAAATCCATATTTTAGGTAGCGTTTTCTGGTCTCATAGTTAATTCCTTTATATGCTGAGTTCTGCAGAATGTCCATATTTCTATTGCATCTCAATTGCCAGGCTGTGTATACTGCCACCTGTTGTAATTTCCCTGTGGTTTTCCCACAGACAATTCAATTCCCTCTTTTCCAAGCGGGAATGTCTGGTGGTAACAAGATCACACATTATTTGAAGTATGACCTTTGTGAGGAACCAAGGACATGGATGACCATTGAAAATTTGGACTAACCATTCACCTGCCTGCTGGTAACATCAGCTGTTACTTCAGATCAGCCTGACCAACACACTTAAAGGAATTTTCATACTTATGCTCGTGAAACCAGACACTCAAGTTATTCAAAAACTCCATTCTGTCCAATTTCTTCAGTTGGATTTAATTCTGAACAGTTGATTGTCTTCCTTGTTTTCATGAATTCCCCTCCAGGTGTGAACAAACTTGCAGAACTTGTCCTCTTTGTCCAAATGTCCCACCCACAATCAAGGTGAAGTTCAAATGGAATCTCCTCTTAGTTTTCCGGGATCCAGACAGAACTGGCACGTTCTCTGCAGAATTCTCAAAGTACATCTAAGTGCAGGATCCTATCATGCTGCTATCTTCTGGTATGCTGTACATGATACATGACACTGTAGTTTATTACATTCCATTTCATTGTATAGATAATTAGGGTTTGTGAGGGCTCTCTAGTGAAAGTCAGCCAAGAAACAGCCAAGTAGCAAGTGTAAGGGCCTGGGGCAAAGAAGGCAAGGAACTGACACAGGAGGGTAGAATAGGGCTTTTCCTCTGAGGCTGGCTATGCAGGAGGACGTCTCTGGGCCATGAGAGTCTCCTGAATCGGGTTGCAGACACCATCTGAGCATTAACTTTGGGGTGGCCCTGACTTGGAATGGTTGTGGTGGGGGTGGAGAGTGTCGGGGCTCTCCAGGATGTGGACCTTCAGGGCCACCTGCATCCTGTAGCCTCAGCCCCACCTGGTGGCACTTCCCCCGCCCTGGCCCTTTTTGTGCAGGGAGGATGTGTCTGTGCCCCGCTGTGGCTAAACTGCTGGCACAGAGGTACACGGATGTCTGATCGGTCTTGGCGGACGTCACATTTAGGGGGAATCGTTCCTCCTCCTTCCTGGACACATTGTACCCATCAGGGAAATCGCCTTTCTGAGTATCCTTGACACCGAAGGAGTAGTAGAGCAGCTGCAGCCCCAGCGCTGGGTCCTGTCGATACCAGAACATGTTATCATGGTCCATGTCCTGTGAGCATTCAAACAAGGCGTGGTCTCCCTCTTTTTTGACCAGGTATCTTGGGCTCTGGGTGACGCCTGCATCGGTGAGGACTGTGAGAAAAGGGCAGAGGAGGTGAAAAGACCGTCTCCAGGAAGCCTGAGGAGGGAAATCACGTACCCAGGATCTGGGGCGGTAGCTCAGGGGTTCAGCTGCCATCGGACTCACCTGCTCCCAGGAAAGAAAAGGCCACAGTGCAGAGGAGCCTGAGAACCATGGCCGGTTCAAGACCAGAGTGGGTTTTCCCCCAGCAAGGCCCTGGCAGCTGGCTGTGAAGTCACTGTCCCCACCCACCTTGGGAGCCTGGCCTCCCTCTAGCTGCTGGGGAGTGTAGAGCACAGGCTAAGCACCCTTGCTTTTCAGTGTGTGGGTGTTCATGCATGTGCATACATGCCTGTGCGTGTGTGTACACGCCTGTGAGTGCCCTGTGTGTGCATGTGTGAGTTAACATCACGGACCTAACAGCTGTCTTTAGAAGGACCTGGTAGCGAGGCAGGCCTGAGCTTTGCTGCCCCCCACCCCAGTCCTCAGAATACTGTTCTCAAGTGACGCTCAGCTCTGATTAGGAAAACATTATGTGAGCTGTTTGTCTGTCTGTCTTTCTCTCTCTTATTTACGTGATAGTAATAAATATACACATAATTGTATACAGATGGAATATATATATATGTATTTCCTTCATGGAAATTCTAGCTTTCCATAACAATTTTTAAATAACTATTATAAGTGAATTAGTTGAGGGCAGGCTCTAGAGGGAGGCCACCTGGGGTTGAAACTTGGTGCTCACCTCTTGGCTGGGACTGCAGGCATGGCTGGCTCCATGTGTGAGAACGGGGTGCACTACAGGCCGGGGGGGCGGTGGGGAGGAGGAAGTGGTGGGAGGAGGAGCTCTATCTGGGCTAAGTGAGGAGAAAAAGACATCTCTGTGCTTGAACTGAGTTAAGGAAGGTAAAGAGAGCACAAGGGCTGTGCAGAGGGTGGGCTGAGCATGTTGTGTGCCAGAGACTAGGGAGACTAGGGAGGAGGGGTGAGTCCTGAGCAGGGGTGGGGCTAGGATGGAGGGGAGAGGCAAGGGAGGAGGCATGGGGCTAGTTTGAGGGGTGAGTCTAGGGAAGGAGGGGTGGGGCTAAGGAGCAAGTGTGGGGCTATGGAGCAGGGGTGGGTCTAGGGAAAGAGGGGTGGGACTAGAAAGGAGGGGTGGGGCTATACAGCTGGGGTGGCACTAGGGAGGAGGGGTGGGGCTAGGGAGCAGGGGTGAGGCTTGGGAGCAGGGATGGGGCTAAGGAGGAGTCCTCTGAGACTGGGAGGCAGTGACAGCCACTTCCCTTCTGTGTCCTCCAGGGCAGTGTGATGCAGCTGTAGACTGAGAGGAGACAGCACTCTCAGGCCAGGAGAAGGGAAGCATAGACAGCCCCTCACTGATGAGACCCTCAAAGATGGAAATTGGGGTAGAAAGACAGTCAGCTGGTAGAGTGAATGAATTTCAGAGATTTGGGTAAATCAGTAAAAAATTTTTGAGGGAGACACTAGAGAAATGATGAAGGTTCTTTCTAAAGCAACCAGATAATTCAGCACCACACACTGACAAGGCCGCGTGATGCTGAGGTAATAATGGCTGCAGAGCTGGAAGCAGTTTAAGAGGAGAAAAAGAAAAGCATCAGTAGACTATCCTCCCCTGGGCCTCATGCATAGAGCACAGCGACTTATCATCCCGCGTGGACCAGTTATCCAGAAAGATCCCAAAAGTTCCCGTGGAGAACGTGGGCCTGGACCAGGTGGCTCATGGGCTCGGGGAAGACATCCTTGACCGAGGCTTCCCTGACCCCGCCTGCCGTCTTCCTCTGACCATGACACACTGGAGACACTTCTAAGATTCTTCTCTTCTCGAGTTTCCCTCCCTTATCTTGAGGCTGATGCTGTCCAGATGCATCTTGTCAGGCCTCAGGGGGAGAAAGGAAGGTGACTGGGTGACATGATCACAGTACGTGCTCTTTCCTACATGTGTAGATCCAGGTGTGAGCCAGGAGTGGGGCTATGATTAATTCATTTCTCACTTGGAATCGCTCGTACCCACAAAGAGGATGTCCAGGAGATGGGGCATCTTGTAAAAAGAGACCGAAAATGACTCCCGGCCTCAGGTGTCCCGCGCTGCAGACACTTCTGCCAGCACTTTGACCACAGCCTACATGGCTGCTTCCTGTCTGCTCAGAAGGGGTTGGTACTCTGCGTGAGGTGCCCTGTGGTCCTGAGCCCTGCCCCATTAGGGGAAGCAGCTTCCCTGGAGAGAGGAGGCTGCCCCCAAGTCAGCACCCTGAACAGCACCCAGGGCTGTGCTGTCAGGTCCTCTGTCCCTCAGTTCCCTTCCGCCATGTCAGCAGGCTCTCTCAGCCCAGACCCTTCATAGACTTGCCTGATGGCAATTGAGCCAGATTCCCGGGCCCCACCTATTGGAGGGAGCTTCTTCCGGCCTCGCATACGTGGTTTCGGTGACCAGCTGCAGGGCCTGGAAGACCTATCCAGCGCAGCAGGGCCATGTCCCACTGCCCACCGCCCGCTCCTGCAGCAGCATGTGCTCCTTCTCCAGTCACAGACTCGCTAATTTCAGGTCTTGGTTCCGGATTCATCGCCTCATGCAGAGTTGTTTTAGGATTGCATTTCAGTGGGCAGGGATAAATCCAGGATAACTCCAACTGTCCCATGTCTCCTCTGCCAGGCCCACCTGGCAGGCTCAGCCCTGTCCTCTGAGCTCTCGACTGCTCCCCAGGACCCCCGGGGGGCCCAGGCGGTTTCCTGAATGCACAGCCCACCTTGGCCACATCTCAGCTGGACAGTGTTGTCACGGTGTTAGGTTTGGGTTGGTGCAAGCGCCCCATTGTGCCCAGTGACTGGGTGATGGACTGAATGGGAGTCTGTGAGGCCTTCTCCCTCCCCCGCCCCCCTTCATCTCTGGGCTCCTCCCTCCCTCCCTTCAGCTCCCTTAAGGAGAGACACCAAAGGGGTTTAAGCCCAAGAGAGGAGTTTGTGGGTGACTGCTTGGAAGCTGGTTAAGGAGTCTGGGTGAGGGAGGACATTTGCTGACCACAGAGGTTATCTGTGAAGTTAGAAAAGTTAGTAAAACTGCCAGGAACTCTGCTTAGAAACATGCGGGGGCAGTGATGGATGAGGCAAGGAGGTGTCCGAGACATGGCTGGGTGACTCCCCAGCTCTGGCTTGGGTGATTGGGTGGATGGCAGGGCTGTTAGCTGAGCTGAAGAAAATGGGAGAAATCAGATTTAGTAAAACACCGTCCCCCAAGGAAGAAGAAGGCACTGGCATAGGGCAGAACTCAGTTGAGTGATCGCACTGACAACAGGAGATTCAGTTTGGGTGAAGCAACTCTCGGCCACTACGGGCCCCAACACAGTCGCTTGTCCTGCTCACTGGGCGTGAACGGAAGGCTCAGCACCGGGGAGGGACTTTGGTGGGTGCTGAGGGTGGGATGCTTCTCCCTGCGTGGGGAGCTCCTCCCTTGGGCTGCCCTTTGTGTGAGAGACGCCAGCTGTGCCACGCTGTGTCCTCCCTGCTGGCACAGAGGTACAGAGAGGTCTGCTCCAGGGCGGTTGACTTCAGGGTCGGGGGAAACTCTCCTTGTCTTTTCGGGAGACCTCGTATCCCTCAGAACCATCTCCCTTCTCAGTTAAGCCAACATTACGGGAGTAGTAGATCAGCTTCAGGCCCAGGCCTGGGTCTTGCCGATACCAGTACATAGCGTTGTGGTTTGTGCTCTGAGAACACTCCAACACCTGCTCCCTCTTGTGCAACGTGATGCGGTATCTAGGGGACTGGGTCACTTCTGCTGCTCCATGGCCTGGAAAGGGAGAAGGTAAGTCACAGAGAGCTCAGGAGGGCATCTGATGGTCGTGCTGCAGGAAAGGGTTTGAGCCAAGACCGGCAAGCAAGGCCAAGAGCTGCCCTTGGGTCCTGGGCCTCACCTGACACCAGGAGGAAAAGCATCTCACGGCCCAGGAGCCAGGCACCCATGGTGGCCTCCAACAACAGGGCCCAGCTGATTCCTGTCATGCCTCCACCTTGGCTGCTGCTTGGCCTCGTGTTCAGGGAGAAGCCACACCCCTGTTCAGAGGGACGTGTGACACAGACATTGCTGGACTATGGGTAATGCGAGGGGGCTCGACTATTCTCGTCCCCCTTTGAGGCTGCTTCTTCCAGTGCCCATCTGGCTTGTGTTATTCGTCTGTGCCTGGGAGAGTTGGCCAATGTTCAGCTTTATGCTGAAAATTGGTATAGTTCCTTATCCCTCAGGAAAGTATAGCGTGAAACGTAAGCTATCATCATCATTGCACTTTTATCCTTCAGATGTGCTCATTTCTACTCTGCCACAAAATAATTCCAAGTATATTCCTGTCTTGGTCTATTCATGGATATGTTTTTTGAACACTGACCTTTTCAAGCACCTGTGGGTAAAAAATAACTCAGTCCAATCAACATTGTGGGTTTTGGGTGTGTGTCCAGTTCAAAATACTGGACGGGGGCTCATTCCTGGTGAGCAGATCAGACGTGGTGGGGGTTGCTAGCGGCTGCCTCCCCACACGAGTTGGGCTCTTCTGTCTTCCTCATCCTCTGCTCTCTCTGTCCACTAAAGGGTTGTGAAAGGCCATTTCACTTCTGAGGAGTCCCTCTATCCCTCGTCTTTTATCATTATGAGAAGGCGATGCTGTGTGAGGCGATGCTGTGTGAAGGGGTGTGTTGTGCCCTCTAGAGGACTACACCATGTGGTGGTCGTGGTGCTCTTCCCTGGCATTTTAAACCCGGTCTTAAAAGAGCAGGGCTGGTCTTCACCCGTGGTAGAAGGTGCCAGTAGGTCTGTGACCACGAGGACTAGCTCATCCTCGCCATGAGAAAAGGAGAAAAAGAGAAAGTCAGAAAACAGAGAGAAGACATGAAGCCTTAGAAGAAGCAAAGACAGCCGTGAGTTGGGAGGAGGCCGTTCCAAAACTGTCTGTCCGTCGCTCCGTGACAGCTGCTAACCCCGGTCTTGTCCTCATCCCACAGTGACTTAAGCATTTCTTTGCTTCCTTCCTGCCAAACATGGCACCTGCTTCCTGAGCTGGGGCCTTCAATTTGTGCACACAGGAGCTGACATTTCACTACCGTGTACTGACTGCTGGCGCAGAAATACAGCGCTGAGTCTGCCGTTTCGGAGGATGGGATTTCCAGGCTACAGGGTGGGTTCTGGGGACATTCAGCTGAGAAGTTCCGCGTCTTGAACAAATCAGTTTTGTCTGCAATTTTTTCCTTGTAGAAGTAAACCAAAAACGTAAGCTCCTTTCCCGGGATCTGTTGATACCAGTAAACGTAAGGATGTCCTTGTGCAGGAAGACAATTCATCTCAGCCTTCTGGCCTCTGCCTGTGACCAGATGTCCTGGGGTCTGGGTGACGTGGACATCAAGAGAGTCTGAGAAGAAAGGAAACAGAAGCTGTGGACAGAGCCAGGAGGGACCTTGTGCAGGGAAGGACCTGGGATGGAGACAGGCGAAGCCAGGACAGAATTTTGCTCTTTATTTAGGACTCACCGGCTCCCAGGAGACAGAGGGCTAAACAGCAGAGGAGCCTCTTGTTCATGGCAGCAGCCAAGGCGAGAAAGGGGGGTGTTCGCCTGCCCCCTCAGTGTCCTTCTCCTGTGGTGGCTTTGCAGACTCAGCCTCCTGGTGCCTTCATGTTCCTGAGCACAACCCCGCCCTCCTGTCAGAAGGGAGCGCTGTTCCCTGCTGTGGAAATGTGACTGGTTTACATTTTATTCATTGAAAACATCCAATTTTCAATTTTCATTGAAAAGCATTTCACACCTATTTTTACAAACGGAAACTATTCATGTAGATTTTAGATGTTAGAAAAGAAAGATAAATAACACACGTCACCACTGTCTGCGATGCTTGCTGCTAATTCCTCAGTGGTACTTCGTCCAGATCTCTGTCCTGTCTCTCTCTTACTTCATGTACATGTGTAGATAGAGGCTTAGTAGGTAAGAGACAGACATGAGGATGGATACACATGCTTACATGTGTGTCAGCACATGAACACGTTCTTTTTGATAAACAGTCTATCACCCTGTAAATGCTGTCAAATAACCCTTTGCACTTAACCATGAACGTCTCCCCCTGTTGGTAATGCCCTTTCATTTATCTCTGACCCAGAATTCATCCAGAGATTTGCAATTATCTGAGGTTTTCCTGTATCATTCATTTGAACACCAGTTTCTCACTCAGGGCTGAGCATTGCTTTTGATGGTTAATTGCCTAATTCCCTTTTCACATAATACAGATCCCTGTTGTTTTTATGATTCTGAGACCTGTCACTGCTCTGCAGAGTATTTTACCTTTTTGATATTTCTGGTGTGTTTTAGCTTGTTTGTTTATTAGTGTTTATTCTCCGTAAAGAACCAGAATACCATCATCTTTATTTCCAAACATGTTATCTCTGTTCTCTAAATCTATATTCTGAGTAGCGTTTTCTGGCCTCACAGTTCATTCCTTTATATGCTGAGTTCTGTGGAATGTACATATTTCTTTTTTTTAATAAATTTTATTTTTATATTCCCCATACAATTGCAATCCCCTTATTTGACCCCAATCCTTCCCCTCCCCGCCCCCCACCCCGCACCCCCAATGATTGTCTCTTGTTCATAGTTGTTTGTTGATTTTGATTTTCACTTTCTTATAGTTATTCTTTTTCTGGTCCCTTATTTAAGTTTTCTAGATTCCTGCTATGAGTGAGACCATCCGGTATTTTTCTTTTTCTTTCTGGCTTATTTCGCTGAGCATGATCCCTTCCAGCGCCATCCATGTTGCTGCAAATTGCATGTGTTTATCTTTTTTGAATGCTGAGTAATATTCCATGGTGTATATGTACCACATCTTCTTGATCCAGTCATCTATTTTTGGGCATTTGAGCTGTTTCCAAAGCTTAGCTATTGTAAACGGAATGTACATATTTCTATTGCATCCCAATTGCCTGGCTGTGTATACTGCCACCTGTTGTAATTTCCATGTGGTTTTCCTACAAACAATTCAATTCCCTCTATTCCAAGCGGGAATTACTAGTGGTAACAAGAGCACACATTATTTGAAGTTATGATCTTTGTGAGGAACCAAGGACATGGACGACCACTGAAACTTTGGACTAACCAATCACCTGTCTGCTGATGCCATCAGCTGTTACTTCAGATCAGCCTGAGCAACAGCCTACAAGGAATTTTCATACTTATGTTCATGAAACCAGACACTCAGCTTGTTCAAAACCTCCATTCTGTCCAATTTCTTCAGTTGGATTTATTCTGAGCAGTTGATGGTCTTCCTTCTCATCATTATTTCCCTCCAGGTGTGAACAATCTTTGCAGAACTTGTTCTCTTTGTCCAGAATGGCCCGCCCACAATCAAGGTGAAGTTCAAATGCAATCTCCTCTTAGGTTTCTGGGATCCAGACAGAATTGGCACGTTCTCCACGGAGTTCCCAAATAACATCTAAGTGCAGGAGTCTATCGTGCAGTTATCCTCTGATATGCTGTACATGATACATGACACTATAGCATATTACATTCCATTTCATTATATTGATAATTTCTCTCTTACTAGACTGCTATTAGAATTTTCTATAAATCTTTCATATTTGGAAACAGACAGAGCTGACTCTCCAGGAAAGACACAGCTAAACCTGAGAGGAGGGATTGAAAGCCTGGAGACGCAAGGACCCGACTATGCTCTGGGTCTGCTCTAGCGCGCTTGGTGTGGTGTCAGCTGGGGTGGGGAAGGGGGTTAGTGGTGGACACGTGTGGACACCCAGCCAGAGCCGCGGGGGCTTCGGCCTGGGTCAGGTTTGTGCACCGGCAGCGGGGAGGGGAGGCGGGGGACCCCCGGCTCTGTGGAGCGCTACCAGAGCAGAAGGACCAGGAGCTGTGGCTGGTGTGGGCCAGCTTCAGCGTAAGGGCAAACAGCCCCTTTCCTCTGAGAGAGACGCTGTAGCCTTGGGCCAGGTATCCCCCCTGGACGTCCTTTTCAGCTTCAGGGAAGTAGATGAGCCCCAGCCCTTGCCCGGGGTCCTGCGGGTGCCGGCACATGGCGTTGTAGATCAGATTCTGTTTGCGCTCCAGGGTCACCTCCCACCCAGCAGGAATCCTGGAGTCTGGTAGATTTCAGCACCTGCACGTCCTGGTAGGGGGGTGGGAGGTATAGAGACAGCATGGGGATAATGGCCATGTATAATGCCCGTAACAGCCCCCACGCTGTTGTGAGAAGGTGCCCGCATGGGGGCTTCACACTCAGCTTAGGAATTTACCTGCTGGGTCCTCACCTGCCTGCTCCCAGGAGACAAAGGACCACACAGCAGAGGGCCCAGCTGCCCATGGCAAGGACAGGGTCTTTATGAAGCGCCAGACACAGTCTCAGAGAGGCCGAGGGAAGGTTCTGGGCTCCGCCTGCTCAATGCGCAGGATTTGGCATTGCTGTAAGATGACTGCCTGCCACAGTGGATGGGGAGACAGAGGCTGGGGATCAAGCACCTGCAGCTGCTCCCCTGGTCACAGCGCTCTTTGGCGCCCTCTGTGTGCCCCCTGGTGAGAAGCAGGCTCCCCTGTTCCCAGCCAGAGTACTGCTCACTCCCTCCCCACTGGAGTTGCCAGAGGAGGGAGCTCAGGGTGTCCCCCCACCCTCAGAGTTGGCTGCCACTAACCTCTGCTCTGTTTCCCAACGATACAGGTGGGGGAACCCCAGATGCAAGGAGGTGAAAGGTTCAGGTATTCAGGTTGCTAGATGAGAACCTCTGTATTCCTTAGAAGTTGATGCAGTTGGGAGGGGTGAGGGCTTCTTCTTCTGGAACTTTAACAAACGCTTTTCATGGTCTTTGTAGACGAAAACATTTCACAAGATGTGGGAAGGCGGGGAAACTGGCCGTAGCAAGTGGTGTGTATGTCAGCCTGCTTTTATTTCTTTCTCTGGCTCTTCTCTTTCACTGTTTTTATATAAAAATT